GTGGAGGCCTGGCGCTGGACAGCCATGCTGAAGCTCTGGAAGGCTCTGAGAGCAACCACAATGATCGCCTTCCTACTAGTAGGCACTTCTCTGAGATTTGCTCCAGTGTGAACAGATGTTCACCCTCATGCATAATATCTTAATATGCATCTGTTTGTGTGCCTGGCTCTACGCTGAGCGGTTTACTTGTAGCAGCAGTTCATGCGATCACCCCCTGCCCTGGGAGGTGGATGCTACTGTCAGCTGCATTTTCAGCTGGGAACTGCAGCACAGTGAGCAGGCTGCCTAGGGCTGCTCAGCAGAGCCAGCGTTTGATCCCTTGCTTCCCGGCAAATCCCCTTCCCCTTTTGGGCTTCGGTCTCCTTATCTGTGAACTCTGGGCATGGGTCCTGGGCTGCGGTGTCATTCAGTGATGGCCGGGTGAGGGGTCTCAGGCCCTCTGGGGTTTTGAGGCTGCCAGGAGTAGTTGAGGGGTCACAGTATCTGATTTCTGCAGCTGCGGCCATCCTGGGAGACACTAGCGAGGCCACCTTCCTCTCCTGAAGGTTTTCTTGACAGCTGCACAGAGTCTCCAGCTGTGACCGGTGGGGAGGGAGGGAAGCCCCTTGGCCACTCAGCTCCAAGTAGCTGGTCTGCAGTTGCCCCCATGGGTTGTTGAGGCCTCTCTGCAGCCTCCTTCCCAGCAGTGTTCACAGCAGAGCTTTTGTCTGCTCTCAGGCTCAGGCCCCAGCCCTGAAACTTCCACCCCCGCGCCCCCAGCTTGGCAGACACCACAGCCCTGAGGGCCGGAACGGTACCAACCCCTGTATGGGGGCTGCAGGCTCTGGTCTAGCTGCCTGCCCCTCCTCTTGCCCTGGGCAGCTACCTGAGATGCTGTGCCAACTGCACGCGAAGGCTAGGTAGGGGAGGCGAAAGGAGGTTGCCACATTTATGCTCAGATCCCCAGGAAGGCACCAGCCCATGGCACCCACATTCTCTCTCAGTCGGCAATATACTGGGAAGGGTTCCCCTATCCCACCCACTGAGGAAGGGGAGAGGAAATTGGAATAGAAGGGAAGGGGCAGCCAGGAGGAGGCTGGGGTGTTAGGGTAACAGCCCTCATCGTAGGGAAGGCTGACCTGTGTTTGAACCCTGGTCCTGGCTGTGTGAGATGATCTGTAAGGTGCCCAGCGGGTCTGGCAGTGCCCAGCAGGGCCTTGGCTGTGAGTCTAGGCAGAGTGCATGAATTTGGCCATCATCTTGATATCTGACGCTTTGTCCGGGTGCTATTCTAAGCAGTCCACACATATTAGCTCCTTTAACCCCCACAATCCTCAGGCATAGGTGCTATTGCTATCCCCCATTCTATATTTGAGGGAACTGAGGCACCGAGGTTTATTTATGCTGTGCATTTTCTTCTGCCCGGCGGTTGCCTTCACAGAGAGGGTCGTGTGCGCGCATCTCCAGGTGGTTAGGACTCCCGCTCAGCTGGTCTGAAGCACAGCCCAGAGGGCAGGCCTTGCCTTGGTCAAGTAGTGGTCACTGGCGGGACTGGGGCCTCACCAGGGCCTCCTGGGCCTTTCCTGCTATTCCTTGTGCTTGGGGAGCTGGCATTTTAGGGACAGGAGTTTCTCTTTTTTTGGAAGGCCCTACCTGCTGTCTCTACTTTAGGGAAAAGTGACTCTCCCTTCGCGGGGTGACAGCCAGGGAGGTCCCCAGTCCCAGGGGATATACCCTGCTCCTTGTTCCTGTCTTTGGAGACTCTGCCTGAGGCCTGCTCGGCTGGACTCTGGGACTCACTAGGCTTTGGAGCCAGGTCTGGGCTTCCGTCACTTCCCCACTGGGTGGGGGAGTCTTGATGACATACTCCACTCAACTTCCTTTCCCAGAGCCCCAGGTAGTCCACCTGCCAGCCCTTACCTGTATTTATCAAGCTCCTTTTTACTCGATCAAGCAGATAAAAAGAATATTGGCCTTGTCCTGGGTTCAAATTCTGACTCTGCCACTCACTGGGTGACCTTGAACCAGATCCTGTCACCTCTCTGAGCCTTAGTTTCCTTATCTGTAAACTGGGCACAAAAGTGTCCACCCCCAGGGGAACTGTAAAGACCTGTGGCAATAGGGCATAGGAGCCAATGGCAAACTTTTGAGTCTGGGCAAATGGTTCTAAGGGCAGGCCCTGGACCTACTGGGGCTGGTGGAAGTGAAACTGAACTGGGCCCAGCCCCCAGCGGCTCAGAGCCCATCCACTTGTGACATGTGCGCACACATGTGCACATTCACGTACATTATCAGTCACCAAGTCTTTTATTGGTCGATTTTGTTTATGGTTTACCAGGTGTCTCCCAGTTCATTAGCACCCCTGTTCCACGTGATTTTAAGAGTCACTGGGGTGGGACTGAGGGCTGGTTTTACCAGCCTTTAAGATTTGGGTTTCACAGGTCTGGGGTGGGCGCAGGCGCCTGCCATTCCGGCCAGTGCTGATACTCAGGCACGTGTGAGGAGTTTGATCATCCAGCCACTCTGCCCAAGAACCCGGAAACTTCAGCGAGGGATGGTGTTACAGATTCTGGGGCCTGTGTTACAGATGAAACTGAGGTTTCCCAAGGACAGCTTTAGAATTTGCCACACAGTTCTGAGCGAGAGCCCAGCGCCTGGTGAATACTGCGATGTTGGAGGCCAGAGGAGGAGAGGGGAGAGAATGAGGTAGGCAGGAAAGGCTTCCTGGAGGAGGCAAAACTCAGGCCAGGCCTCCAAGGTGGCTGGGATTCACCTAAACATGAAAGAACCCACGAGGCACAGGGTTGAATGGGGTAACGCTGGGGAGGCCAGGGGCCCTGAGACTCATGCAGGAAAAGAGGAGAAATAAAGTGGCAGAGATTGGGGGCAAACAAGTGTGAGCCTTGGATTCCAGTGGGGAAATTCAGGGATTCTTCAGGCAGCTGGGAGCCACCGCTAGTTCTGGAGCTGAGGGTGATGCAGCAAGGAGTGAGGGTTGCTAGAAACAAGCTTGGCAGAGTTCAGAGCACCCCTCTGTGGAGTTTCCGGGGGCTGGGGGAGCCTTGTTCTGTGATGCTGCCTGAGTCATGGAGGCATAAGGAGGCAGTACCATGTCCCCAGCACAGTGCAGACACTACCAAAGTGTAAGTGGAACCTCAGTGAAAATTTGAGGGAGGCGGAGGCTGTCTGGGCTGCCCTGGGGGGTAGTCTGCACATATAGGAAGAGCACAGATGGCTGTCCTCCGGTGAGCTCGGTCCAACCCTGGGGTGGGTTTCAGTGCTGAGTGTTTCTTCTAGCCAAGCAGTAGCTGGTGTTAGGTACATCTTGTAGCTCTGGAAGTCAGTCGCCAGTGTTGCTGCAGCAAGTCCGACCACCTGGCAGGATTAGATATGAGTCTAGCCCACCCAGGTTTGGAATAAGAGCTGTATTTTCAGCCTCTGGTACCCACTGTATTTCCATCCGGTTGGGGATGCCAGGAGTCCCCGCCCTCAACTTCCAGCTTCATTTTCCCTCCTGTGAACTGAGTTCCCTGCAGCTCTGATGGTCCACCTGGGAGAGAGGCTGGTGTCTCTCGTCATCGCTCTGCTCTGGGTCCCGGCCTCTGTTTCCTCCTCTGGAAAGCAGGTTTGCGTTGGCAGTGCAGGGACCTCTCAGGACCCACCCCGAGCTGTTGGTTTTGTGCGGGGTCCAGCAGCCCCCCAGCACCTGGCAAATCTTCAGGGGACTGGGGAGAATTCACTTCGAAGTCATTTTTGGAAGATGTTTCAGGGACCTGTTGTTTAATGAAAATGGATTTTCTAAAGCTTGGGAGCTCACCTCTCACAAAAATGCTAAGGTTTGTCCAGTTTTTGCCATTTGTAGGGGACCCTTTTTCTGGCGGCCTCCCTGCTTGTGTCCTAAATGTCTGCCATTGCCGTTCCCTGCTCGAGAAGCCCTCACAGCTGCAAGGTAGGAGATACTCCCACATTGAGTGTCCCCAGAGTCCGGAGCCCCAGATGTCCTGTTTGACCAGAAAGCAGGCCCTGGGCAACAGAGGAGCAAACAGATAATTAATTGCAGTATGCGTTGGCGAGTGAGTGTGGCCTGTGGAGCCCAGGCATGGCCCTGGGAGTCCCGGGAGTTACTTGGGGAGCAGTGTGCCAGGCTAAGGAACAGCATGAGGCGAGGTGTGGGTTAGGAGCCTCTGGGATCTTGGGTGGGCTCCAGATGGTGGAGGACACCTGAACCCAGATAAGTGGGACAGTCATCCAGAGGAAAGCTCCTTTGCTCTGTAACAGCGGCCCTGGTGGCAGACATTGCTAGTCGATGGCCCTCTCTGTCTTGCTGAACCCCCAGGCTGTTTCCTTCTGCAGGCACCAAACCCTCCTTGAGCTAGATTTCTAGTTAGGGTGAGGTAAGGGTGGAGCCAGGAAGGTAAACGAAGGTCCTTCCTCATTGAGAAACAGGTTGAAAAGAGGAACAATGAAAACGGAGAGCTTGTTTACAAATATTTACCGAGCTGGTTTTCACACACTGGAGATGAGCTGTTACATCTGCCGTACCAAGGGTCACACTGAGCCGGAGAGGTGACTTGCCCAAGGCTCTCCAGCAGAGTGCCTGGCCGGTTTCCATGGCGCCGGGACTCCCCGCAGAGCTGTGATGAGTTGGTTGGGAGTGGCTGGCCCTGAGTAGGCAATGGGCCACAGGCGTGCCACTAGCTGGCCTTGTCACCCGGGGCTGTCTCCTCGCCCAGGGAGGGGCTGCTCTTTGTTTGCTTTTCGCAGCCTGAGCAGAGGGTGGCTTTAGGATTCTTACAGCTCAAAAGGGGAAGTTGGAGGAACCGAAAACCAAGGCTTTCCTTTTTCTCATGTCTTTTCTGTGGCTTCCAGAAATAATCCCGGGTTCTGCAGAGCCTCAGGATCATGGTTGACTCCACCCCACCCCCACTTCCGGCAAAACCAGGCTGAGGCCTGGGGTGGTGGGGTAGCTGATGGAGTGACAGGCTTGTGGCTGGTGAGTCAGTGCCCGGAGGCTGTTGCCTGCTGACTCACTGCGCCCAAAACAGGCCCTGAGCGCCCAGTAGACACCATGGCCGCCCTCCTCTGCGCTCCCTAACCCTCTCCTTCAGCTGAGCTTTGGTTATGGCGGTGGCAGGTGGCGTATGCTGGAAATCTACTAAGTGGCATTTGGGGTCTGAGCCCCTTCAGACAGGATCTGAGAGTCTGACGATTCCTGGACCCCAAGCCCAGCTGCAGGGCTCAGCCAGACATTGTCATGAGACTTCCTCCTTGAAGCCTCTCTTGACTCAGATGCATGCTCCTATTCTTATGAACTTGTAGAATGATGTGTGTGGCTTTGATGAAACGAGCCTCTCCCCCATCTCTGGGCATCAGCACCTTGAGGGCATGAAGGTGACCCTGTGTCCCCTGCACTGGGCCTCGACCAGGGCCAGCCTCGCAGTAGGTGCTCGGTCAGCGTGGGACAGTTGGGACTTTTCCTCCTGACCAGCTCCAGGTGAGTGAGGGCCTGCTCAGTGCAGGGAACTGGCTTGTCTGAGATCGAATAGCATCAAAGGCTGAACTCTGACCTTTCCAAACTCACGGGCCTCACCTTTGGACTAGACTTGATGCACAGGAACATGTTCTTCTCTGTGTGACCAGTTTGTGGCCCTTGGCCCAGGGAAAGGGGTCCTACCGCCCCTGCCTGGCTGGTGCCCCTTTGTAGCCACCTTTGGCCCATCACAAGGGACTCAGCTCAAGAGGAGGAGGCTGGATGGCTCTGGGGTGTCCGGGGGAAGGGCTTGGGCTCTACAGGCCCCCACTGTAAAGTTCCCACGAGCAACTGCTTACAGGGAAAAGCCCACCATGTGCCCTCAGATCCCTCATGGAGTGGGAGGGGAGAGGGGTTGGGCAGGCGGTTGGAGACAAGAGGGGACTTTCAGATGAACATACCGAGCCTTCAGTGGGGGCTGAACAAGGCTCTCGGGGGCCTCCACCATCCTCAGGACAAATCTCGGTTCTAACCCTGGCCTCCAGGCCTCGTCTCTTCTCCAGGTCACCTTGTGCCCTGTCCTCTCTTTTTCTCGGTTCCCACACTGGCCTCCTCTGCTCCTTTACCATGCCCAGTGTGGCCCTCGCACATGCTGTTCCCTGCTCTGAGAACCCCATTCCCCCAGCTGTTTGTCATGCAGATCTCAGCTTCAGTGTGGTTAAAAGCACAGACCCTGGAGCCGATCTTCTGCGTTCAAATGAATCCCAGTGGTGTGATTTTTGGCAAGTGGGTTCACCTCTCTGGGCCTCATTCTTTCATCCAGTCTTCTACAAGGAATAAATGAGTCTGTGCCCGAGTGGGCTTAGCATGGGTCCTGCCCAGAGCCAGCCCTCAGTGAGTGTCTGCCGTTAGGGAATGTCATCCCCTCACAGGGCCTCTCTGACTCCCCGTGCCCCCCCCCCCCCACACCTCATCCTGCTTGGTTGTCTTCTACGGGCTAGGCCCGGTCATAATCACTAATTCTGATGTGTTTAGTGTCTGTCTCCCCTTCTGGAATGTTGGCTCCTCAGGGCTCATGTCCACGCCCCCAGTTCCTGGAGCCGAGCCTGGCACCTAGGGTAGCTTGTCAGTAAATGTTTATCCAATATTCACTGCTTGCTAACGCCCCTTTGCTCTGTTTTTTCCCGGGACATCCGAGATGCAAAGTACCTGTCCTGCGTGACCCAACTGAACCAAAATAGGCCCAGCTTTCTGAGTCCTAGCCTAGTCCATGGCCTGCTCGGCTGGTGCTGGGGGCACCTCTGTTTAGGGCGTGATTGTGCCCCGCTCACCTTCACCTGGGGGGGGGGGCACCCAACCATTCTGCTCCCACCCCTCTCCCCTTCTATAGGCCCAGCCCTGCCACAGGGGCGCCTCCTCCTGCCTCCCTCCGCTCCTCCCACTGCAGTTTGCTTGTCCTCCTCTTGGTGCCATTTCTGCTGCCCGCCTGTGGTCTCTGGGCTTTGGATCGAGGCCCGCCATCTGCAGGGAGATAAGAAAAGTATTTGGACCCAGTCCCTAGACCCTTTACCTGCAAATGTTTGTGAGGGGCGAGGACCAGGTGGCTGTACACCAGGCCGCCACCACGCCTGCCCCCACAGCCTTGTCCCAGAGGCCAGTTCTTGGCAAAATGTGTTTACCTTTACCCGCCTTTTTCTTTGCAAATTGCAGACCAAGAAGGACAACCTGCTCTGGTGGGTCCCTGTGTAGAGGTTACACTTGCCCCAGGATGGTGTGGAGTCAGGATTTGGATGTAAATCCTGGCCCGCCGCCTTGTGGCTGTGTGACCTGGACCAGATCCCCCCTTCTCTGAGCCCCAGCTTCCTGATCGGTGGAAGGGGAGCCTTCGTGAGGCTTGGGGAGAAGTAAATGTTTCTGTAGGCTGAAGGCTGAGCCTGAGCCAGGCAGGTGCTCTCAGCAGAGGTTGGGGGTCTTTGAGGGTAGAACTGAACTTTTGTGGGGTGTAGGGGTTGCAGTTAGATTAAGGGAGGGGAGGACATTGCCCACAGACACTGAGCCCAGGTGGATAACAAGCCCTGTCCCCAGAGATGTCATGCTGAAAACAATTCCCCAAACAATTCACTTTCACTAGTACCAGAATATTGTCGCTCATTGTTTTCGGCTTTGTTCCGGGCAAAACAATGCCAGGTTTCCTGGATGACCTCACTGGGGTGAGCCATCGGGCCTGTGAGGCTGGGCTGGTCAGCATGTCCTTTGCTGTGGCCACCTTGTGTGACCTGGGGCAATGAGATGACCAAAGAGGGTAGACCGTGCTTGCATTTGGCCCATACAGTGTTTTAGAAATTGGAAAATGTAGCCTGGCCGTTGTGGCCCAGTGGTTGAGCGTCGACCCATGCACCAGGAGGTCACTGGTTTGATTCCCAGTCGGGGCACGTGCTCAGGTTGTAGGTCCAGTCCCCGGTGGGGGGCATGCAGGAGGGGGCCAATCGATGTTCTCTCTCAACGATGTTTCTATTTCTCCTCCCGTCCTCTCTCTCTTTAACCAATGGAGAAAGAAAATTTTATAAAAGAAAGAAATTGGAAAATGTGTATACCCATCCATCTCAGATTGCAACCTCTTGAGAAATTGGAGGAGCTGGGGCTGAGAAGAGCGGCCTGTGGCGGGACCCGGGCTCCCTTTTGGCGCAGGCCCTGCTCCTCCCTGTGGCCTCCCCACTGCATTCCTGTCCTTTGCCTGCCAGCCCCCTGGAGGCCTTTGAACTTTGAGGCCCTGAGCTTGTCACTCCTGAGTTAGCCTGAGTTAAGAATAAGTAATACAAGATAGAAGGATACAGATCACAGGACTCAATCAAATCATGCAATCTTTTAAAGGTGTACCTTTAGCCCTGGCTGGTTTGGCTCAGCGGTTAGTGTCGGCCTGTGGTTCAGAGAGACCTGGGTTCAGTTCCCACTAAGGGCACGTACCTCGGTTGCGATTTGTCCCCGGCCCTGGTTGGTCATACGGGTGGCAGCCACTCGATGTGTCCCTTTCACGTTGATGTTTCTTTCTCTCTCTCTTCCTCTCTCTCTCTCCCTTCCTCTCTCTCTCTCCCACTCTATCTGAACAAAAAATGGAAAATTGTCCTCGGGTGAGGATAAAAATAATAATAATAAAAAATAAAGGTGTACCTTTAGCCCTGGCTGGTTTAGCTCAGTGGTTAGAACATTGGCCTGCGAACCAGAGAGACCTGGTTTCAGTTCCCGCTAAGGGCACGCACCTCGGTTGCAGTTTGTCCCCGGCCCCGATTGGGGTCGTGAGGGTGGCAACCAGTCAATATGTCTCTCTCACGTCAATGTTTCTCTCTCTCTCTTCCCCCCTCTCCTTCCCGCTCTATTTGAAAATTAAAAAATGCAAAAAAAATAAAATAAAATAAAGGTGTACCTTTATAAGAAAAAGACAAAAAACAAACAAACACCTGATTAATTTCTACTTTTTAGTAACAGCTACCCTAGGCAGAGGGTAAAATAGTGCTCTTAACGCAGCTCACTTTAGGGGGCAAGGGTGCTTAAATGTTTTCTCCACCAGGATGGTGTGTAGTAGACATTACTGGTTGACCCCAGACCTCCTTCTCACTGAGCCTGTCCCTTGACTGGAATCTGTGGAGACAATGCTCACAGGAACCCCTTCAAATCCAGCAGATAAATCTGGGAGACTTTCTCTCTTTGCTAGAGGAAGCCTCCGGTCCATACACAGCACTGTCCATTCTGCCCTAATCGTGGGGTTTTATCAGCTCACCCAGCTCATTCCTGTGGCCCTGGGCACTGACTGCTCCCCAGGGCCCCAGGCCCGGCCCCGTCTCTGTCATGTGGCCCCTCATTTCCCTGTTTGCCCTTGCCTACTTCCCTAATTTGCCAGCCCAGTCGAGTGGCTTGAAGTTGGCTTAAAGTCACCAGACCGAATTTCGCTGTGTGTCTCGACCAAAGCCCTGTGTGGTTGAGAACATGGAATTTCGAAGCCAGAACAGACCTGGGAGCCATTTGAAGCTCCAGCGGCCTTTTACCTGCTGCATGGCCCCGGGCAAGTGACCTCACTTCTCTTCACCTCATCATCAAAACAGAGCTGGTAACAACGTCATGGAGGGGCTAAGACGACGCTTGCAAAGCCTTAGCACGGTGCTCAGTAAAGGTGCGTGCAGTCAGTGCCCGGTACACGCAGCCTTCTTTCTTTGTCTTTAAACACTCAGTATACAATACCTGCCACGTAGTATAATAAAGTCCCAATGTGGTCAGCCATGTTCTTCTATAATAGGTAATATTTATTAATCACTTAGTATGTCTCAGGCCCTGTGCTGAAAATTTTATAGGTGTCATCCTGTTTAATCCCTGTGAGGTGAGTTTCATTTTTACCCTCATTTTTTTTTTTATCCTCACCCAAGGACATTTTTTGATATTTTGTTCAGATAGAGTGGGAGGGAGAGAGAGAGAGAGAAATATCGATGTGAAAGGGACGCATCGAGTGGTCGCCACCCACACAACCCAACCAGGGCCAGGGACAAACTGTAACCGAGGTTCATGCCCTTAGCGGGAACTGAACCCGGGTCTCTCCAGACCGCAGGTCAACGCTCTAACCGCTGAGCCAAACCGGCCAGGGCTACCCTCATTTTTTTTAACCAGGGGGGAAACTGAGGAACAGAGGAGGTTGTCACTTGCCCTGGGTCACACAGCACAGTATGACCTCAGTGAGCCCAAAACACTGGCTCTGGAGTGGATAGGGAGACTGGAGAGGAGGGCAGACCAGCCAGCCCCACAGGCGGGGCCACTCAGGCCTTGGGTTTCCCCACTTGTAAAATGGGTCTGTCATCCAGGTCTCCTCTCCCAGGTCTGGGATGCTGGGAGTCACTTGCCTAACCCCCAGAGGTTTGCTGAGAAACAGCAACGGTCCTATGGGTCTTAGAGGCCAGCCTTTTGGAGTGTGGGGAAGTATTCCAAAAGGAAACAGAAAAAGTGACTGTCCTCTTATTAAAAAACATGGTAGAGCCCTGGCC